ACATCGGGGAAACCAAGCGGAGACTCGGGGACCGCTTTGCAGAACACTTACGCTCGGTTCGCAACAAACAACTGCACCTCCCAGTCGCGAACCATTTCAACTCCCCCTCCCATTCCTCAGACGACATGTCCATCCTGGGCCTCCTGCAGTGCCACAACGATGCCACCCGAAGGTTGCAGGAACAGCAACTCATATTCCGCTTGGGAACCCTGCAGCCCAATGGTATCAATGTGGATTTCACAAGTTTCAAAATCTCCCCTCCCCCCACCGCATCCCAAAACCAGTCCAGCTCGTCCCTGCCTCCCTAACCTGTTCTTCCTCCCACCTATCCCCTCCTCCCACCTCAAGCCGCACCTCCATCTCCTACCGACCAACCTCATCCCGCCCCCTTGACCTGTCCGTCCTCCCTGGACTGACCTATCCCCTTCCTAACTCCCTACCTACACTCACCTTTCCTGGCCCCATCCCCGCCTCTTCGACCTGTTTGTTTCCTCTCCACCTATCCTCTCCTCTATCCCTCTTCTATCCGCCTCCCACTCTCTCCCTATTTATTTCAAAACCCCCTTCCCCTCCCCCTTTTCTGATGAAGGGTCTAGGCCCGAAACGTCAGCCTCTCTGCTCCTATGATGCTGCTTGGCCTGCTGTGTTCATCCAGCCCTGCACCTTGTTGTCTCGGATTCTCCAGCATCTGCAGTTCCTACTATCTCTGACTAAATTATAGTCCAACAGGTTTGTCTGAAAGCCACAAACTTTCGAAGCCTTGGTCCCCTTAGAAGGGGGAGGCAATGGCCTAGTGATATTATTATTGCTGGACTGTTAATCCAGAGACCCAGGTAACATTCTGGCGACCTGGGTTTGAATCCTGCCTTGGCAAATGGTGGAATTTGAATTCAATAACATATCAGGAATTAAAAATCAAATGATGACTGTGAATCCATTGTCGATTGCCAGGAAAAACACACCTGGTTCACTAATATCCTTTAGGGAAGGAAACTGCCATCCTTACCTGGCCTGGCCTACATGTGACTCCAGTCACCAAGCAATGTGGTTGACTTCTTACTGCCCTCTGGGCAATTAGGAATGGGAAATAAATGCTGCCTAGTCAGTGACTCCCTCATCCCGTGAATGAAAAAAAACATTTCTGACCTCAAATTTGATAAAGGCAGCACATGGAATACAATGAGTAACAGAATTCAAGCTGTCCTTAAAGAAAAGCAAGCCTGAGGAAGATCCAAAAGCATATAGCCAATAAATTGGGAATGAATAGGATGCATAGAAAGATCCCATCACCTAGCGATTACAATGCCTGGTAAACACTATAAGATCATGGGAACCTGGGGCTGTCCATAGGAATGCCCATCATTGATTAGGGTTCCCACGGAATTGGATGTATTGATTAAGGGGGAAGGACAGTGACTACATTGTATTTGATTTTTGTAACATAAAATGTATAAAAATGCTGTATTTCACTGTAAAAATCAGAGCATGTCATTGATCGCTCTTCTGATCTGAGCCAAAGATTAAGTGAAAAGTTGCTTTCTCACATCGAGGCCAGATTCGGGGAAGATCCTTTGGTCCTCTCCCTGCATTAACTGTTTTCTACTTGAATAAACGTCTTCCACTTGTCTGAATCCTGCCTGCTTCCTGAGTCTTTGTCCCCTGTCGGTGGGTTATGCTTCTACAAAGACCATCAGGCCTTGGGGATTTATCAACTTTTAGACCCATTAATTTTTTTCTGTAAAATCTTACTAATGCTAATTTCCTTCAACTCTTCATTCTCCTTAGCTACTTGGATACAATGCTCTATCTATCACTTGCTGCTTATGCTGTTTGACATGCAAGTTGTCCAGTGTTGCAGCTTCACCAAGTTGACACTTCATTTTTAGTCATGCCTGGTCTGCTGCCAGTATGCCCTCTTCACAAAACCAGGATGGTTTCCTTGCTTAATGGTAATGGTAAATATGCCATGCCTTGAGGTTGTAGATTGTGTTAAAGTACGATTCTGCAGTTGATGATGACCCACGGAACCTTTTGGACACCAAATCTGATTTGCCAGATCTGTTCAAAGTCTATCCCATTTAGCTCAGTTACAGTGCCACATAAATCAGTGGAGGGTTTTCTCAATGTGGAGGCAGGACTTTGTCTCCACAAGGTTTGTGGTGGTCACTCCTACTGATTGTGTCATGGACAAATGCATCTGCAGCTGTCAGGCTTATGAGGATGTTGTCAAGTATGTTTTTCCCTCTGGTTCCCCTCACCATCTGTGACAGCTATGTCCTATAGACATGACCAGCTCAGTCAGTAGTAGTGCTGCCAAGCCTCTCCAGATGAATGGACATTGAAGCCTCCACTGAAAGTAAATTCAGCACCTTTGCAACCCTCAGTGCTTTTTTCTAGGTGGTGTTTAACATGGAGGAACACTCATTAGCCAAGGGCCAGACTTGATTTGCAGTCTGCCAATTTGTATGTGAATCAGGTAACAATTTGGAGATTATTACCTTTGAGGTTCTGCTTCTTAATTTGGTGCCTGGCTCCTCATACTGACTATGCAGAATCTCTTTCTTTGTCCTGACTGTGTTGTTGGCAACTACATGGACCGTGATGACTGGATCCTCCCCTTACCACTGAAGGTCCATCTCCATACTCAATGAACAGTTGTCCCATACTCAATCACCAGTGATAGGGTTAGAGTTGAGCTTTCAATGATGCAACCATTGTACAATGCTTTGCTTGTTTCATTTATTTCCTTTGAATTGGAAGTTCTCACTGATGAAGTGTCTAGCATAAGACAGTAAAGTTAGATAAAACAGTGAAATCTCCATTATGTGATGTCCTATGATCATTACCTAATAGAACTTTTTTTCAGATAAAATCTTGTATAAGGCAACAGATTCTACAAGTATTTGTATTTGATTGGTTTTGATGAGCAAAAAAGCATAATGGGCTGAATTTTGAGTAGGCCACCAGGGTCAAAAGCACAGGTTGACTTTGCTTGTACATGTGTGCTCTACCACTCATCTTAGTGTCATCTGCAAACTTTGACACACTGCACTTGGTCCCCAATTCTAAATTATCTATGTAAATTGTAGACAATTGCAGTCCTAATACTGCTCCCTGAAGCACACCACTAGCCACTGATCGCCAACCACAAAAACACCCATTTATCCCCATTCTTTGCGTTTTGTTAGTTAACCAATGCTAATATATTACCCATAACGCCATGCACCTTTATCTTAAGAAGCAGCCTTTTGTGTGGCAACTTGTTGAATGCCTTCTGGAAATCCAGATATACCACATCCACTCTGATTTTTCTTCACAGATGTTGCCAGACCTGCTGAGCTTTTCTAACAACTTCTGTTTTTGTTCCTGATTTACAGCATCCATGATTCTTTCAGTTTTACTTTAATGATAGTGACCATTTCTAGGTCCTTGCCTGCCATAGCCTTCTTGTTATCAATTATTGACATGTTGTTGTTTGTGTCTTCCACTGTGAAGACCGACACAAAATACCTGTTCAACACCTCGGCCATTTCCTCATCTCCAATTATTAAATTCCCCTTCTCATTGTCTAAAGGACCAGTGTTTACTTAGCAATACTTTTTTGTTTTATATGTTTGTAGACACTGTTGCTATCTATATGTATTGAAATGTTCTTTATAAAATGATGTTGCATGAGTAGCTGAAAATTGAATGTGTTCTGTAAATATGATGTACCATTTTTGCCTCTTCCCTTTGTCTTGTAGCAATCTGTCGTCTTCAGAGAATGTGACCAGTAATTATGGTATAGGTGGTTTCACACCATATGGAATGGCTGGAACATTAGCTGGTGCTGCTACCTGCTTCTATGCATTTGTTGGATTTGACTGTATTGCTACTACGGGTAAGTACCATGGGTATATTAATTACTGCATTATTTAGTCGATGGGTTAGGCAGTAAAAATCTATAATTTGTAATGCTATCGAGCACATACACTCTGGTTCAGAAACTTTCCCAAAATGAGAATGGATTAGGCTACAACACCATATCCGTGCTTCTCTAATCTGTGCTTCCTTGGAGCATGGCTTGCTCCTGGGTGTTTTCAATTTTCCCTGTAATTGATCCCTAAAAATCCGGTGCAGTTCAGGTCTGTACCTCATCACAATTTCATATTCTTTTCCATTGAATTGATCTTCTGTATGCAGTTAAATTTCCAGACTTGGCTGCGTATTTGTTAATTTTTGTGTTTATTAATATGAGTGTGTTTGGTGTTACAGAACTAAATGCTTTCGATTCTTTACTCTTCAATGTCATTATTAAATGCTTATCAGGTCAGGTTCAAACTAAGTATTTAACTTCACCCCAGCAATATACTTAGTTATTATCCCAGGAGAATACTCTATTGAGTCAGTGTGACTTTCCTCCTTGTTTCACATACCATCGGCATAGTTTTGACTATGTAATTAGAAATTTGTTTTCCATTAATAGCATACTGATTGCTACTCTTGCATTAAATTCCTTTATATACTATTTTGGTGTAGTTGCTAGCTTGTCCATTTTGGAGGGATAACCTGTCCTAAATAACATACAGAGCAGTTTTTAATGATATGTTAACTTGCATGATGAGCAATGAAATTACTCTCTCCCTACATTTAAGTTTATGGTAATTTTGTTCTAAGTCTGCACCCAGTAAGAACTTAGTTGAGACAGCATAATTACATTCCTCAGAAAAACTTCCAGTTTTATATTTTTGACTATCAAAGCTAATAGTACACTGGAGAACATGAAAATGTATTTTAATTCTGATTCTTAAATTATGATGAAAATTCAAGGAATTTTAATGTTCAAGCAGTTTGAATTCTGGAGTGTATCACTACAATCTGTCTTACAACTTGAGATCTGCATGTAATTCTATTCTTTGTCACAGTGCAAATGTATGCCCGTCAGAACTTTCTTCTGTGTTACGTCTACACCAACAAACACCCCATCTAATAATTTATGTCTACTTTATTCCTCTTGGATATAATTATGTAAAATAAATACATTTTGGCATGAAATGTACTGACAATTAATTTATGTTCCAAATATCATTATATTTGGGCCTATTATACTAGGGTCTTTTAAACAGTCTACCTCAGTACCCTAGGGTAAGCTGGACAGACTGTAGCCATACCTTAACCTCCCTCAATGAGAAACCTGTCTTTGCTGGCATTTTCTCCTGAGGCATACACTCTGACTGTTCAAAATTGAATATCCAGTCCTAAACCTTACTTTGTAATCTCAATGATGGTCTAATTGGGACCAGAAATTAACCTTTCAGTAAAAGCAGAGCAAGAACAATTCTAAGGAATTTCCTGGGTCTGCTTTTTCTATCACCAACTTACCTAACAAAACTCAACTCATCAAATGAATTGTTTGCATTTAAGCCATGCGGTATTCTTTGCTATTTCAGGTGAAGAGGTGAAAAATCCTCAAAAGGCTATTCCCATAGGAATTGTAACTTCACTTTTGGTTTGCTTCTTGGCATACTTTGGAGTTTCAGCAGCTCTGACCCTCATGATGCCTTATTACCTACTGGATACGAGAAGTCCACTTCCTGTTGCTTTTGAATATATTGGCTGGGGTCCTGCAAAATACCTGGTGGCAGTGGGATCTCTCTGTGCATTATCAACAAGGTATGGAAAGAAAATTCAGTTTTATTTCAGAACAGAGGAATTGGAAAGAGTTATCATGTACTATCCTTGCAAGCACACATTAGATACAAAATTTTTGTTCTGATTTCCCTCTTCCAACCTGATGATCCTAATGTAAGATATATTTTTACATAATATTGAGTTGTTTCATGGTTGGTCATGTTTAATTTGGGCAATTGTTTAATGGAAAAAGAGAATACCCCTAAACTTTTAATTTAATCGCATATCAATTAGAGCATTTTATCTTGTTTCAACCTTCTACGGCCTCTGCCACCGTGGTAGCTGGCCTTCTTTCTTGCCTCAGCATTACAGCATTAGATACATTTGATCTAACTAACCTCCTGTCTTCACTAAACCTCTCCATTTTCTTCAACAAAATCTCTACGATCCCATGACCATATTTGCAAGACCACCTCTACGTCCCAATTAGATCTTTCACTTGATTACTTTCTGCATCCACTGCATGCTATACATGCTTCACCAAGTCACAAACTTCAGTTTATGGCCCTCTGTTTATTAGACTACCTTTGCAACTGTCCAAAGTTTCTGGTTCTGCTCAACTTTCCCTTTTTATGGGAATGCCACATAACTTGGTAAATTAGAAGGAGGTCAGATTCCTGATTAACACCATGTTAAAGTGGGGCTGCTGAGCCACACACGAGCCACTTGAGGCAATGTTTAATGGAGAGTTCATCACTACAACGGAAGTATTTGTCTTGTGAAAAGGAAGGCTGCCACTGCTATTCACTTTTCACTTCACAGTATTACAACAGAGATCTGAGGTTTTACAGCCAGTTGCTGAAATGACATGATCCAACCTTGGTGGAGAATTTTCTCCATGCTGAAATGCACTCTCATGGTGCACCTTGAAGCCAGGGGTGTGAGGATCATTTGGTAGGTCACTGTTTGACCACAACATGAAGCAAGTTAACAGGATCAATGACGCTTTCTGTGTGACACTGGCTTCCCCACCAGATTGTTGCGGTCAGATATGTTAGAGTGTCTCCTTTGCACCCTGTTAAGATGTTTGGGAACTGTAAATATGCAGCGGAACTTGTAGTGGGCATTCATCATGTTAAGACAGAGGCAGTAAGAACTGCTGATGCTGGAGTCAGAGATAACACAGTGTGGAGCTGGAGGAACACAGCAGGCCAGGCAGCATCAGAGGAACAGGAAAGTTGACGTTTCGGGTCAGGACCCTTCCTCAGAAATGGGGGAGGGGGAAGGGAGATCAGAAATAAATAGAGGAGGGGTGGGGCTGGGGAAGGTAGGTGAGATGGTGATAGGTGAGTGCCGGTAGGCAGTGATGGGGATTGGTCAGTGAGGTGGGAGGAGCGGATAGGTGGGAGAGAAGATGGACAGGTTGTGTAGTACCTGGTTTGCTTGAGTAAGTGGTCAAAAAGTTTCAGGGCCAAAGAGATTACCAGAGGGTTGCAGTGGGAGAGAGATCCACTGAGGTCTTTCTGGAGGAAGGAGTATAACTTCTTTAAGGTGGGCATCTCTAGAAGACAATGTTAAGACAGTGGTTTTCAGAGAGTCTTAAATTTTCAATTATTGTCATGAGGTGTGGCTATTTAATAGCGGTGTTAAAAACACTCTGGGTACACTTTAAACTTTTGCTGACAGCTCATAAAATAGGGGTTGTGGTTTGACCTTCCATTATACACCTTGGCCGGTCTTCTAATCCATTGACCTCAGTGGCAAAGAAAATGAAATATTAGATGTAATTGGTTGCTTTCCAACAAGGCTGAGTTTACAATCTGTCTGTGAAAGGTAAAATCTACCACTCAATTAATTTTATATGATACAAATTGCATTTTTGTGACATTTTTGGAAACCTTCAATATAAAATGTTTATTGTGAAATCATTAACATGCAAACAGTTTCCAAAATTTCTTAGCATGCCGTGTACTACATTACTCTACGTCTACAGCTAAATCAAATCAAATCAAGTGAATAATAATTACGTGATTACACTGTAGGCCTCTACATAACTTTTGTCTGTTTGAGCAACACAAACATAAATCATGTTTGGCCACCTAAAGTTTATCAAACATACTCAAGTGTTTATTAAAGTAAACAGAATCAGCTCAGAAACTTCATGTTAAATGAAGTCATAGAAAAGTCGTAGTTCTGAATTGCATTAACATGGGTGGAGTTTCCCTAGAATCCATATAGATAGCATTAGTGAAGGCCCATTATGATAAACATGCCATTTTTGTCTCTTTAATCTCTTATTCACTAAAGTTAAAAAGTGTCCTAGGAAAAACGTTTATTTCCCAGATTAATGCACTCTAAACATTACTGCATTTCAGATCCTCCAACCTGTCCACAGATTACCATCATAAACTGAGGTGTATGATACTGTTAGGCACTGTCTCCTGATTTCCAACCAGAATTTTGGTGGAATAGCTGAAGAAATGGTATAAATAGCTGTAAATGTTTCTCCTGAGGTTCACATTGGATGAAAATCCAGTCAGTAATATTGTTTTAATTCCTTAGTTTTTGCTATCATTCCATGAAACTACACACCTTTACAGAATATGAGCCCAAACAGACTGGAAACCACCAGCGTCCTGCCTGTGCAATTATTACTTACATGCAAATCTAAACACAAGTGTTGCACATTAACTTATCCTGTAAAGATGTCATCACATCCTAACCCAATTATGTTGTGCCCTGATATCTATTGATATGCACCCTACTCTTGCCTGTCCCATTTCATAGACAAGAATATTGAAGTTATTTCAGGATCGCAGTTGAGATCACTTAACCTGATATAGGCTAGCATGAAATTGGAATCCATTGCTTAGAATGTCTGCGTAATGGACTAAGGAGCATGCTACCCACAAGGCAGGTGATGGCCTAGTGGTATTAGCACTGGCCTGTTAATGCAGAGACCCAGTAATGTTCTGGAGACCCGGGTTCAAATTAAATTAATTGAATTAAATTTAATTAAATAAACAAAAAACAATCTGGAATTAAGAGTCTAATGGTGACCATGAATCCATTGTCGATTGTTGGGAAAAAACCCAATTGGTTCACTAATGTCCTTTAGGAAAAGAAACTGCCATCCTTCCCTGGTTTGGCACACATGTGACTCCAGACCCTCTGGGCACCTAGGATCGGGTAATTAATGCTGACCTAACCTGTGATGCCCACATCCTGTGAATGAAAAAATAAAACCAAGGGTCTTTGTGGAATTCAACATGCCATATTTTGATTTTATAAAATACTTATGCATTAATTAATAAATAATTATAATTTCATTTGTGGAGACATTGCCTTGTGGATCACATGAACCACTCCACACTGATAAAGGAGAATTTGAGAGTTTATGTAGAGCCCTAAAGTGAATGTTAATTTTTCATTAATTCACTGCATACTGGCTGTGACTCTGACGTGCGACGTTCTGCGTGTCTTTGCTCTTCATTCAGTCTACTTGGTTCCATTTTCCCCATGCCCCGTGTAATCTATGCTATGGCTGAAGATGGGTTGCTTTTCAAAGTTTTAGCCCACATCAATTCTAAGACGAAGACGCCATCTATTGCTACAATGTCATCAGGTGTGGTTGCAGGTGAGATTTTACAGATGGATGGATGGAAGAAGGAAAGTAAAGAGGGATTTTGTCTTAAATAAGCAAATGTAGAACAAAATCGTCACATGGTCAGTTATTAATTTTTTGCTGAGTCAAATTTAAGATTCTCATTCACATTTTCTGTGCCACTGGCACTCTGATCTCTCTCTGTTCATGGGCTCCTACATTATTTTAATTAAACTCAATAGAAGTTCAAGGAAAATGATTTCATTTTTTGTTTAGATTCTTTTCAGCCTGCTGAACTGAACACTCGAGTTCAACAATTTCCAATCATTTCCATCGTCATTTTGTTTGAACAGTAGCACTTTTGCTATTGCCATTTGGACTTTCTATAGACCCATCTAAGTTTCTCTTTTTGTATCATTTTCATCCTTTTTTGCATTGCCCTATCATATTTGTCATTTAATGTTTCTTGCTTTCTACATCAGCCCAAGTCTTCCTTTAGTTTGTTCTTCCCTTTCTCCCTTTTTCCAGTTTTGATGAAATGCCATCAATATAAAACAGTCATCACAATTTTAATTAAACAGATTGGAAACAAAATGGGGTGGCCACTAGCAGATCAGTAACCCACGAAACAGGCTTTGCTACGGTCTTTTAATTCAGTGGTGGCATTAGCATCCCTCTACTGGTTGCTGGCCAATCACCGTTTTAAAATCATCTATCAGAGAATGACAATGACAATGAGATTAGATTCAGTGGGGTTTTGCTCCAGTTGCTCTGATGACTATTGTTCATGACTAGTTCATAGTGAAATATGGAAGAGAAACAATATCTATAATAAGGATCTAATCTGGTTCAAAAAGAGCTGCTTAATCTGTATGATTTACCTTGAAGAAGCTGGATGATGCAAGTGGAGTGTTGTCACCTCAGATCAGGATTTATATTCAACCCAGATTGATAGGTTTGTTTTGGAGTACTGAATACAGTTCTGGTCGCCCTGCTAAAGGGAGGATATTATTAATGGGAGAGGGTTCAGAAAAGATTTACCAGGATGTTGCCAGGACTGGAGGGTTTGAGTTATAAGGAAAGTCTAGATAGGTTGGGACTTTTTCCACTGGAGCGTAGGAGGTTGAAGAGTGACCTTATAGAGGTTTATAAAATCATGAGGGGCATAGATAAGCTGAATAGCAAAGGTCTTTTCCCTACAATGGGGGAGTTCAAAAAGGGGCATTTTTTTAAGGTGAGAGGAAAAATATTTAAGAGACCTGAGGGGCAACTTTTTCACACAGCAGATGGTTCAGTTACAACATTTAAAAGACGTTTGGGCAGGGATATGAATAGGAAAGAATTAAAGGCATATGGGCCAAAAGCAGGCAAGTAGGACTGGTTTCGTTTAGGAAATTTGGTAGGCACGGACAAGTTGGACAAGGATCTGTTTCTGTGCTATATAACTCTATGACTCTATCTATGATTCTATGATGCGATGAAAATTGACTGAACTGGCAATAAAAACAGTTTTGCATATCAGTGTTGTACACAAGGTATTGTGGTGGCCAAGAAAACAAAGAGAGAATTTGGGTGCACACTATCCAGTAGCTTACAAATATATAAGATAAGAAACTGGACTTTCTGATCCAAGTCTGGGAAACAAAAGGATTGAAGTTAAAAACAAGATTAAGAAAATGGTTTTTAATGAAGTAATTATTTGAGATATTTACCGTACAGGCATATGGTCTAAATGGATATGGACTAAAACCAAAAATCAGGCCACAACATGTTTCTATGAAGTAATTTATTTGAAAAATTTCTTTTATCTGAAAGATATAATCAACAATTCATTTAATTACCCTCTTTCACACAATTATTTTAACTGACAATTTTACTCCCACAAATATGAACACAAATATCTAAATTGATATAAAGCTACTATACTCAACGTTATTTGATTAAAAATAATTTTTGTAACAGATTTAGTTTCATTGGCAAGTCAAGTTCAATCAGACTTAATTCAATTAGATGATGTTTGATAATCACTCTCAACATCCTCAGAGTCACTTACAAAATCAATAGAATCAAAATCTATTTCTAAACTTATTTCCTCAATGTTTATTAATACTGAGTCAAATATCTATGGTATCACTGTACGTTTTCAGTGTCATTGTCTCCATTTTCAGTATTTGTTGAAACATTATGTATTTCCTGATAGAACATGAGAGTGTTTCTTAAGCCAAAGTAAAGTTTTCTTTGTGATCTTACTCTTGAGTCTCCTTCATAGAACTGACCATATGAAAACTGTCCGATCTTGCCCTGCCACTGTGAGGCTTTGACCTTGTGCTATTTTGATTGCAATTGCAGAACATTTTTTAATTAGGAATTGCAATTCTGAAACTAAAAAGAGTAGCTTGGGGTGATTAGAATTGTTGGGTTAAAGATATTTTTACTACTGTATTTCCACATTATGATTGCAGATCCAAAGCCTGAGGTAGTAATTTCTTTCTTAATAATCTTGCATAGTATAGGGACATCAAGGTTTCTTAACAGGATGCTAAATTGAGCACCCACTTTAAACAATAAATTTTAATGAGGCTTGCCTGATATTTTAAAAGGTTTGAGAAACTCAACAGAGTGTTGTGTAGCATCACCAACCTTGGAGTGCAGTGTCAATTGATTTGTATGATGCTTTTTCCTCTGGAATTTCTATCAGCAACTGTTCATTAATTTTACCTACCTATTTTTGGAGCTAAAAGGCCCTTCCACATAATCCATCAGTATGTTTGTCATTTATGTTTGGTGCTTGGGAAAACTGCATTGTTAAATTCCTTTTCATTTGTTAAAGCTATTCTCAATCTAACTGGGATTGCAATATATCAAAATTAGGAGCAAAAGAAATGTGACTACTTCTAATGTCCAGGAACAAATATGCAACAATCACCAAATTCCCCACCTCTTGAAATGTAAACTCTCATATTTAATGTTTCACTGTTACACGAAAGAAACTTATTCAGCCTTACTTGAATTTTATCTGTTCTTGTTCATGTTGTCATTACTGAGAGAATTCATCACAGGTCCCTTTGAGGATCAAGAGACTGACTCCCATGATGTTCTTGTTCTCTTTAAAATCTTAAAATGTGCTATGTTTTATGCCCTCAAGATTTTTCACGCATGGCATTGTACATCCATCCTAGAAAATGAAATTGCATACCTTAACACAATGGCCTTTGCTGAACCTTTCTCAATATTGCACGTTGGTATCTCCTCATTTTATATATTAACTGACAATTTGAAGATAGCAAGAACTGTCAGACCTCCAGCAGGGCATATAAATGCAACTCCTGAGAAAGCTACTGCTAATGCCATATGCCTTTGTGATCAAATCCTGACTAAAGTTGATTGATGATTGATGTCTTTCCTGTACTACCAAGTGCATCTATGGAAATCAAACTGCAGTTACTGGTTGAATCATACCCGCTTAAGGTATCATCAAGTGGTGACTAACAAAATCAACCTTCACTAAAACATTCCCTTTGTCCATGATATCGTACCATCAAGGTTGACTGAAATTAGCCCTACAGACCTCTGAAGCAAATGAACAGACTGATATTTAATTTGCTCATCTCAACCCACTACGAGCAGCTAAAGTTCAACATTACAAATATCACCAAAAATTTAGCATAAGTTATTATTTGTTGAGTAAATGCTTGAAGATAACAAATATGGGAAGAGGAGCCATTTGTATTTTGTATTGAAAGTTAGTCTTCTAAATTGTAGGTTAAGCAAAATTGTTAATCAAGATCAGGTAGAGAAAGTTTTATTCTCTGTATTAACGTTGTATTCTACAATGTGCAAAAAAAACTCATGAAAGTTATAAGAGTGACATGACCATTGACTTTGGCAATTCTACATTTGCTTAAGATATCCATTACAAGTACATTGCACTGAACATTTTTATTTGAACTTTGACCTTTTTCTTTGTAGCCTGTTGGGGTCTATGTTCCCTTTACCCAGAATTCTGTTTGCAATGGCACGAGATGGTTTACTGTTCAAATTTCTGGCAAAAGTGAGTAAGAGGCAGACACCAGTTGTTGCAACACTGGCATCAGGGGTCATCGCTGGTAAGCTGATGCAACTTGAACCTTCCCCTGATGGGACCTCATCTGTCGATAAGCATGCCCGGGCTTGATGTACTGTTCCCTGAAGCATGCTGAGTGCTGGTGCCTTCGTGAATCAGGTGGTTAGGATTGTACTGCAAATGGGTATACCAGGTTCTAAAGAGCAACAATTACAATCCTGTAGAGGAAATTTATAGTAGCAGACATTGTAATCTCCTTTTACATTTCATAAGTGGATTAAAAAAAAACTGATGTCTGCTTATAAGACTAATTGAGAGTGCTTAATTTTATGAAATGAAAATATCTCTGAAAGAGATGTATCTTTTATCAAAAACTGCTTACAAACGTAACCTGGCACACCTAGCTTCTAGTGGCAGTTGTTCACATGGATATTAAACAGTGATGTTGAGATCAAAATATGGCCTTGTATAATCCACCAGAGCATTCAAATCAAATCTAACTCCCAGCCCTCCACCAAAACTCAGGCCAGTGTCAAGTCCTACGTTTTTACACTGACCCAGTTGTGCCTATTCTGAAGTGAACCAATGTTGATATGAAAGCATTTAGCAATTGTTTTTCTTTTAATCTTTGTAGAATCTGACAAATGTTAATATTCTATTAGACATTAATTACAGGGATTTGAAGGCACATGGTTACTTTGATAATATGTACCTTCTAATACTTGTGATATGCGCCTGAGCCAGATTAATGACTTTCATAATAAGTCATTTCCCCGTATCTGCAAAGTATCCATTCCTGAGAATCCCTGCAAATGATCAAATTCGTGAGTACAGAGTTTGTTAAAAATAAATTAAAATGGTTCAGAATATCACAGATACGGGATTTTAGCCTGCAGATGTTGATTTTTTTGTTGTTACTTATTTTTTGATGCAGATAGGCAAATTTGCAATTTGTGATTTTGTGACTACA